CTAAGGAGAATGGCCCCATTCCTTCAACGTGGTAACATTAACCATGGGTGTGTCCCTTTAAATGTCTTAATGGTAGTTAAGCGAGAAAAGCAAAATGATATATGAATGAAGGAGAAAAATTACAGTATTTAAAATAAAGGCACAGGCCAAGGCATGGTGAGTAATTTAGTCCTATTTAAAGCTCAAACCTTAATCTTGAGTTAAAAGACCAGAAACGTAACATTCAAAACAAAATATATTTAAAAATCCAGGTAGCTAAGGATTTATGTATCTATATGCATCATGTACAAACATATCTAGTGTGCTTGAACATAAGAATAAAGCAAAATTCACTAAGGTTGATTGTACAAAATTTTTTAGAAATCCAAAAAGCATGCTAAAAAGAGGAAACCTACACTGAACCAATCTAGTTTCAAATTAGTCCTGTTTTTGTCATTAGGAGAATCAGTCACTTCGAGTAACATTTTGATCATCTGCACAGATGCTTTTTCCATTGGGAGAGGAGTCAGGAATGAGTGGGGAGCACGGTTTCCCTTGTGTTTCTTAGAAACCACGAAGGCTGGCCAGTGGGCCCCCGTGCCTGCCCTACAAAAGGGCCATTTGTGAGAATTACTTTCCACATGCACCACATTTCTTTTTTGGTCTAATTAATTAAGCCACAGTTAACTACTAATGAATAAGATGCTTATGCTTTTTAGAATTTTATTCATGCCCCAGTACCATATTTCATGTTGTTGGCCTGCATTTCCAAGAAAATTTCTAGTCAAAAAATATACTCACTATCTCTGGAAGATAATGGCATAACTGTTTTTGACAATAAAACACTATCTATTAAAAATCAGCACAACCAATGAAAATTTCTGCAAATCAAACATTCTATACCTATACTGACAGCTGGTTACCACATTTATACCGAACGGGAAAATTTAGCCCAAAATACCACCTCAATGAGAAACTCATCAAAACTTTTGGTAATAAAAATCATCTGCCTTTCAAGAAAAGATTTGGGGAAAAGACTAGAACAGAAGTCAAAAGTTTATCTGCTAAATATATCTGCCAAAAAACAAAAATATCCCTCGCTTCATTTTTTTTTCCAAAAACAGATATTAAGTAAATATCATTTCATTCTGGCCTTTTATTCTAGGTAGATCCATGATTCCTAAGTAGATCCTTACACATGGTGAAAGCAATATTAATAGTTTACATTAGAATATAGTCCTTTGCTCAAACTTTGCTTCTAATATAACACTATTTCACAAAAAATCAACCAACCAATTAATCCACACACATTTCTTTGGGAAACTTTTAGAGGTCACATAATGTAATATACACCTGGCTATATGGAAATAAAAGAATATTCTGTGATAATCTGATCAGAACAACAAACTTCAAATGCTAAATAGCCCTAGGGTTCACCCACAACCATTTTCCATATCCAGAAGCAGAGTTTATGCTTCTTTTAAAATCCTTTCAGTTAGACAACAAGCTGACATAATATTCACCCGCCCTTCCAATTCAGTCTACAAGTTACTTAGACGGCTAAGTTCACTTTTGTGATTAAAGTTGAATTTTGTGGGGTTGTTTCATAACTTTAGATGCAGAAAAACATGAGACTTTTTAAATTCAATTTTATGAACACACTAATGTGAAAAAGGACCCTTTCCAGTGAGCTGTTTTATCAAACAATATACATTTTCCAAAACAAAAAATCAGTTTTTGAAGAATGCAGCTGATTTTTCTTACAGATGTCACATGTATGTGTGTGTGCATACACATGTGTGCATCTCACGTGTGCGTATCTCATACACACACATGTGTGTATCCAGCTGCAGTGACTTCTCTCGCTCACTCTCTAGCTATTTCATTTTACCTCGTGTTGTAATTACAATAGAAAACGGGGCTCCATGTAGGGAAGACGGGCCCTCAATGAAACTGAACAGTGTCAATTTTAAAATCAGAACAATGTTTATGTATAGCTCACTCTGCTACAACATAAATAAACCATGATGTAGAAACAACTGATTTATTTTTGTGAAAACTCTGCTCATCTGAACAATGTGGATAATATTGAGTACGTAAGATATTTTAAAAACTGATTTTATTAAAAGTGTTAGTCCTGTTTCCTGCCACATGAATGGTGGATGAACTACTTGTTACGGGTCGGCCTGCCACCTTTTGAGACTCAATCGATTCTGGTCAGTACTAGCCACAGGTTACAGGCTTGGAGGTCACCGTGTCATGATGGTCAACATCTTTACAGCATTCATATGCACCAGAAACGACTGGCTTATAATCCTTGTGGGAAGGGGTCCCAACTATTCCTTTTGTGTATTTTTTCCAAACATTCATCATTGTGAAGAAATATTGGTCTACCAGGAATTACACAGAAGAAACGGTCCAAACCGCAGGTTTCTCTGTTGCTCCTGGACGTGGGGCAGAGTCCTGAGCAGAGAAATGAGGTGCGCTGCAACGCACTGTGTTCTCCTGCCCCCGGTCGTGGACGGAGGCTTCGGAAGGACGAGTGGGAAGGTAAATGGGGGATGAGTGCAGCAGATGAGAGGAACAATTACAGACTTCAAGTTTATGCTTTCGTTTGATTTTAAGAGAAATGTATGTTATTTTAATGAAATAATTTGTAGAATAAATATTTCATTTTGCATGTGAATCTAAAGTTTTGCAATGATACAAAGTGAACATATAAAGAAATCATTGTTAAAAATTCACATTTTATATCCATAAGACTTGCCCATTAAAAAAAAATCATATGCCTTGCTTTTATTTTGTTCTTTATGCAAAATGTTTATTAATTTGCCAAGACTGCAATGAAAAAAAAATTAAATATCCGCTGACATCTTCTGAATTGATACTTGGACTGAGGTTTATTTAGCATGATGTGCACCTGCAGCTCTTCTCGGGGGGACAGAATCCACGTCCTTCCTTTCCGTCATCTGTGCTTGTCTGAGCCCTTTAGTGCGATCAGAGAGAACACACTTGAGACCCCCTAACTTTTAATCCAGGAAGCTCTGAAACAGGAAACTATTTTCTATCACTGATTGCAGAAAGACACTTCGTTTGCGCTAACCTGAGGCTGTCTGCGGCTACAAGTCACGCTAATTACAAGTAGGTCACACATGGACATTCGCATAGCAATGTGCAGAAACTCCTATTTATAACCAACAACATCAAAGCAACATCGGTGTCCAAGCCAAAGTACAATGTCATAATAGTACCATTTTAAACCTTCACTACAAAGATACAATGGAACAGTACCCCCTTCTGAATAACGCTGTCCGTTTGCATTGGGGCCTCAGCCACATTAGCCCATTAGAAAAGGCCGGTTCGCAAGTCAAATGCAGTCACGTGGACAGAGGATTTCGGGCCACGGGGGTCCTGCTCGGTCCGGGCTGGGCCGCCTTTCCAGTGAGACGGGCAGGGAGGCGTCTGTCTGACATAATTACGTGATGTTACCTTCTGAAGAGGCTCGCACCCCAGTGAACAGGTGTAGGTTCCCCCACAAAAATAAAGGGAAGAAAAGTCAAAGGAAGGAGACGATGTGCGGGCGGGACAGCTCACCGGCGGCCGTCAGTCCCCAATCTTCACGGGCAGCTTCTCCGAGGTGCCTGGGGCCGCCGGCTGGGACGAGATCCAGACGGCGCTCTCCTCCCCTCGGATCACCTTCTCCCACTGGCTGAGGTTGTTCCTAGGGACAAAAGGGGACAGTGGCAGGCGGTATGGAAAGCGGCTTCTGGGCTCTGTCTCAAGACACAACCGCCCCGCCGGTGGCAAAACTAAGCGCGATGCCGCTCGGGGCGCGCGGACGGATGAGAGCGGGGGCCAGGCGGGCGCCCTGAACCGACAGGACACGCAGCCTGCTGTCCCCGAACGGCC